AGAGGAGGAAACTTGTGTTGTGTTCATTTTTAAATCTAATCAGCATGTCTTTGCATACTGAATATGACATTGTTTTATGGTATAGGAATATGTGAACAATAAATGAAGTTGCATTTTCTATGCTTCTGGTGTACACTATTGCATGAACTTGATGCTAGTGTCAATATAACATTTAGTTAAACCTACAAACAAACAACTTTTTTAAAAACTATTTATATATCATTAAATATAAAATATATATAAATTATTATTGTTTTTTATTTTTGCTTAATTTTATTTTTCATTTTTATTAACCAATTAGCATGTAATGTAAAATTAAATAATTATTTATTTGTTTACTTATAACATTTTGTTAAACCTACAAAATAAATAAGTAATAAATATATATAATGAAATATAAATGATATAAATTATTATTGTTGTTGTTTCCTTCATTTTTTTTTTTTTTTTTAGCTGGTTAAAACTTAATGTAAAATAAAATAGTAATTATTTATTGATTTACATATTTTATTAATTGATTAACCTATTTAGTTACTTGTTAAGGCAAAATAAAAAAATTAAGAAAACAAAAAGAATGTGTTTTCATTTTGTGGTTGACACTTGTAGCACAATATAACATTTCCTGTGTATTTGCATCTAGAGTCATTGCTGCTCACTCAGACTCAACTGATATTAGGCCTCTAATACAGAAAATAATATATGTTTCGGGGAGGAATCTTACAGTATCGTAAACAAGCCTATGTTTTTCTCTTTCCTAAACCTGAGAACATTAAGTCCGCATTCACGCTTAAAAGCGCATAAAAATAACAGTCATATATCTAGTTAATAATATAATTTTAAAAAATGATAAAAAAAAAAAATATATTTTGGCAATAAAAAGATGATTATCAAAGCGTCTTCGTTTTAATCTCAGCTTTTACTTTTGTCTAGATTGTATCAAAAAACCTTACTTGAAAAGATTATGCAGCAAATAATATAAACAAAACGTATAAAACAATTTTAATAATACGATTATTAGAAATAATAATAATAATTGTTAATACTGTTATTAAACTTATCTTTCTAAACCATTTTTGCCGCTTTAATTAGAAGCCTGCACTGTAACATGATATTTAAACATTGTGTGAAGACACCGCAAGCGCAACACAAATTAATAATGCAGCCTTTTCTATGTGAGCCACTGACCGGGTCACTGCTGTCTCGAGGCAAAACAGAGGTCAAGAGGTGAAAGGTGAACTCTGGAGTAACTGCATATATTAGCAGGCTCAGGCATGCGAGTCGTGCTTCGTGCATATTGCTAATATGGCGAGATGATCTGTTTTTAGTAGGCCTGCAGTCACAGAAATACCTCCAAAAATAAGTCCTCTAGAGGAACATTTATTTCAATTAATTTTATTCGCCTTTATATTGTTTGTTTGATTAAAGCATCTGGATTTGAAGGCTGCTGGAACATTTTAAGGACATTTAATATAATTTAACAACGGTTCAGATCATTTTTCTCTTCGTGAGACTGTAGTGCTTGTGTTAGAGAATTTGCTTGTTTTGATATAGGGGGGTAAGATACGCAAAACCCTTTAAATCAAAATAATATTTTACGCAGAACAAAAATGGAATTTTCGTGCAGCGAAAAATATCTCATTTAAGGAATAGTACTATTGTTTTGTAGATTAATATTGTGAAGAATCTAACATGTGGCCTTTTTATTTTACTGTGCATTATATTAATAATGCAAACAATAAATGAGTGAAATGGAAAAAGATGGCTTTCATTCAAATGCTGTAATTATTCAACCCATCAAGTCAAATCAATTAAAAGTCAATCAACTTAAATCCACATCACATCGATAAATCGATTGTTTAGAAATGTCGATAATCCCCTCTCTCGTTCCAGATAATTCCAGCAATTATTTCTGTCCATGTCCATCGAATAGCACAGGGACAAAGAGGCGAGATTTAGGATTATGCAGGGCAAATATCTCCATATGTATCTCCAAAGCATTTTAGTGTTAAATTATTTTGATAAAGTATGCCATCTGAATAAAATACACTCCGAATTTATATGCAATCAAAAAATGTAAACGTGTTTACGCCAAAAAATCATCACTTCATTCCTCCACCGTATTTCTGGCTCTCAGTGCACTGCTTTGATGCTATCAAAATGAGGAGTTGGTATCAGAAGGTTCAACCCGTGGCACTCGATTTAACCTCTTCCAGCAATAAATTGGTGAAAATACACGGCTAAGTGGAGGCACTTTGTACGTTGACAGCTTTTCGCCATTATTTAGAAAGACGAGAATCACCCCTCCACCGTATTTCTGGCTCTCAGTGCACTGCTTTGATGCTATCAAAATGAGGAGTTGGTATCAGAAGGTTCAACCCGTGGCACTCGATTTAACCTCTTCCAGCAATAAATTGGTGGAAATACACGGCTAAGTGGAGGCACTTTGTACGTTGACAGCTTTTCGCCATTATTTAGAAAGACGCGTATCACCGATCATCGTGCGGCGCTCTTTATTTGCAGATAAAAGCACAAGCAGCATGAATATGACAGACACAGTATGTCTGCGAAACAGCAGCGAACCTGTTGAGTGTTTCTAAATGTGTGCAGCCAGACGTCTAAATATTAGATGTGCATTTTTAGATTTTTAACAAACTAAATCTGTTCGCGTATACATGCACGTTATAAGAATGTTTTAGTCCGCGCATATTTTTTTAAATAGTAGGCTAATGTAATAAAAATGCTTTTGCTCAGATATTCAGTTCGCTGCTTATAAAATGTAAAATAAAGACATTATTATTTAGAGATGCTTTGACGAATACAACCAGTTTACACGATTTTGTTTTAGAGCCAGGAATAATAATCAGATGTCAAAAATTATTGCTATTTTTTATTAATAAGCGATAATTGCCCCCTGGGCATTTTTGCTTTTGCGAGGGCATTTTCTGTGTGTCATACATAAAACCTGCTGTATGCTGTACATTTTAGTCAAATATTTTAAACTCATAACTAGATATGCCTGTGATGTAACGGCATAAAATATAGGTAGTTTAGATAATATATATATATATTTAAAAAAAAAGCTTTTCCCTTGCATTCCCCCCCCACCCCTTTTCTATATTTAAAATATTTGGGGCATTTTTGTCACTTGTCGTGGCACTTTTGCCCTAAACCCTGGTTAATTTTTGGACCCTGATGAGATCTATTAATATTAACGATTCATTTTCTGATCTTTAATAACGGAAGCAGATTCAGAAATAAAAAAATATATATATACCATATAAACAATTATAACATTTTAAAGTAAGAAATACCTATAAAGTGCATTTGAATTAAATCAAGATTTCTCCGCTTGCCTCAACAGGTGTGTAAACTCAATATTTTACTATAGCGAGTTACTGCTTTATTTTCTTAAACAGTTGGATCGACAAATAAATATTTATGTTTGGTGGCATACTTCATTTTTGGGTGTGTAAATATATTTTAAGCGTTCAGATGTTAGTGTAGCCTATGGCAGCCGTCCCACAATCTTACCCTACCAGAAATGATCTTTTGTCAGGAGATGAACAAGTGTCAGTTTTTTTCGAGTCCTCATCACACCCAGAAATCAGCATTAGTCCTGGAAATAGGCCTTCCCGCAGCATTTTCTTCTGTTTCATGCGCCTGTTTTGAAACCAGATCTTCACTTGTGTTTCGCTCAGCTGGAGACTGTTTGCGATCTCTGTCCGTCTAGCTCGAGTCAGATATTTGTCGAAATGAAACTCCTTTTCCAGTTCTGTGAGTTGTTTGGTTGTAAAATTTGTTCGTGGTGCTCCACTCGAGGGGTCCTCCTCAGAATATCGTCCGTGGTCCGTCTTCAGCAGATATATCTTAGCTGTAAAGGCAATGCAATAAATATTAATAAAACATAAGCTTTATATTTTTAACAAGCAAGCGAATAAAGATTCACTGTAAAATGCAGTGCTTGACATCTTTGCATGCTATTTTACATTTGTACAGCTTAACAAAAAATGTATCATATTTTAAAACAGAATGACAGTGTTTCATCAAAAATGTGAATTTTTATAATCTCAGATCGAATCAAATGTCAGCTTTAAAACTGTTGAAAAACACGTTAAAGAAAACACGTCCGTTTTTATTTCACTGTTAATATATTCAGTTACACAATCACTAAATATGCATATAAACTATTATTGGCATTTATTAATGATGCTCTTTATTTTAAGCCACGCAACTGGAAACCAAATGATCTACTCTTGTGTACAAAACGGCACGTTATCAAAGTAAAATTTGTGTATATAAAATAAAATATTATAAAAATCTTATTGTGCCAATAAAATATTTTAATATTAAATAATTATGTTAAAAGACCTCTATAAAAACGTAGATAGAATGCAGTATCAAAGGCTATGTTCGACTGATTAAAAGTGAGGTTAACAGTGATATTTAAACCAGTATGATCACTAAATATGCCTTTGCATTAAGTTTAAGGTATTTGTACTGTTTTGTAAGAGAAAGATATATTCAAAATATATACAGACTTAGCAAGCACAACTTTTAGAAATTGTAATCACATTTTGATTTAGCATTTTTGTTTTTAATAGGAGAAATTTTATTTGCTGGGTTTCCAGGATGGTCACTCATTCTGCTGAAAGTATGTTTAATAGTGAATGAGTGTGATTGCATGACCTTCACCTGAATGCAGAGATCCTGTCTGTATGAGCTAAATAGAGGACTGTCTGTCTGTTTGCTCCTCACAGATGACTGCAGGACAGGGGCCAGACGTACTGTCCATCACGGCATGCCATAAAAATCTGCTAAAGATGCTGTTTTGCAGTTTGGTGCTACATGACTACTTTGCCCAACCTAGTATGCCCTGCAAATTAATTGAAAACCAAGTGCATCCAAATCTGCCTTTCTTTGTTAATTTAGAATAGCATTAAATCTGCAGTTTAACCGAGTCAACTAACCGCTGTTTTAATGGAAATCAAGCTCATGTTTTGTTGTTTGCTTGTGGTGTTTGCTTTTGGAAGCACACAGGAAGTTGCACATTCCTTTACAGCACACACACAGGGGTCAGGCGGGAAAATCCCCTGGAGTGATAGAGACGCATTGAGCCCTCACATACTGCTACAGTCACAAGTGTCTCTCTAACCTCTGTGCCATCTGCACACCATGTGTATGAGTGTGTTTGTAGTCATGTCATTACAGTCAAGGACCTACAGTTTGAACAGACGGAGGACATACAAAGACAAAAGACAAATAACTGCAGTGTTTTGGTTGCAATAATTAAAAAAAGCCCTAATATCTGGCTAAAAGACTTGCTTTTGTTATTGCAACCAAAACATTGTGCATTTATTTGCTTGTATTTTCTTGCATGAAGACAATTTAAACGCTCTCCAAAAACCTGAATAAACTCTGTGTCACTAATAGCAAGCCCTCACCCTTTCTCTTCAGGCTCAGAGCACAAACAGTTGATTATAGTTGATTTAGAGAGCGATCTTTATCTCGCTCTTGCCGTGCAAATGAAAGTAAACAGAGAGATGAAAAAAGCAATTGTAGGGTCACCGCTAATATTCACAAGGGACGTTCTAACAGTCAGTGCATTCACTGACAAATATGAAGTAATTAAGCAATTTCCTTAGGAAATAAAAAAGTGAGCATGAAAACACTGATGAATGAGTTTCTGGATAACAGAATTGGCAGTTGCCAGAAGGCATAAAGGAATCAAATGTAACATTTGAGGAATGACTTGCAAACTTGGAAATGGCCAGCCAGCCAGAGGGATGACGTGGCCCACTAAGCCTAAAAGAGAGCAGGGGAATGGGGGGTGGGGGATCGATACAGATTGCCTCGGTCATCTGGGCATCCAGCCCACAGTAATTCAGGTGCTGTCAGGGTATAATTGAAGAATGACGCACGGGGACTATGTGCACTGTACTGGGGGATCCAGTCAGACACTCTGTATAAGCTTTTATTTATGTTGAGTATAGGAAACATTTTGATGTTGCCCGGTAAGAACAATAACCCTCACAATGCATGAAATCTTTCACTTAAAGGGATAGTTCACCTAAAAATGAAAACACTGCCATTATTTACTCTCCCTCGTGGCATTCCAAAACTGTACGACTTTCTTTCTTCTGTGGAAAAATGTTGAAAAATGTCTCGATGAGTTCCAGTGTTGTGCAAAAAAATTAAAGCCACACAGGTATGGATGACCAAAATTTCATTTTTGGGTGAACTGCTCCTTTAATACTGTTTTCCCTATAACAATTTTTTATTTTCTTTTTTTGCATTACGTCATAATGAACTTAAGTAACAGAGCAGACAATAAACATTCACCCTACCATTTAACATTTGACTTTGGCTGCTGTGTTGATGTGAGTATTATCTTAAGCACTTGTTGATAGACCTCTCATATATCATCATACAACACTTTCTCCATAAGGCTTGCGATAAATCCAAAGACATTAACCACAGAGGGAAGGTCACAACTTATAAAGATACTCCTCTTTAAAGGGAAAGTTGACCCAAAAATGAAATCGTCATTTACTCACTCTCATGTCGTTCCAAACTGTATGCATACAAATAAAAGTCGATGGAAATCCAAAGTTGTTTGGACCCCAACTTTCTTCCAAATATGTACTGTACCTGATGACAAGCAATGCCTCTTTCTTGTGTCTCTAGGTGAATGTGGGTGGACAGGCAGGAGAAAAACAAACAGCAGAAGCTACAGTAAACAAATGGTAAACTCTTGGCCTTGCCACCATTCAAGCTTTTGGGATCTGATATAGCAGGCCTCTCCATTCTATTTCCTTACCACAGCTGCTGGGCGATATAGCCCGAAATGACCTTTTCGCTGACATACTTGCCTGTGAGTTATTTTAGATCATCAGTGTGGCCTGGCCAGACATTCTTCTCCTTGACAGTCTGGAAACCATATGAATGCTGTATTACTGATTTGTAGGAAATGACAAATCAAACAGGGCTCTTCTTGGTTTTACCATCAACCTATTACATATATTGTGATTTATTGAGGGGGACGAGCGATTCACAATTTAACGCACAGCTCTCACAACAAACATGAAATACTTTGACATAATACAGGTCAAATGTCATTATAGAGCATGACATTTTATGAGCACATGTCAAGTAACTCACATTTGAACTGCATTAAACGCAGACCTATCCGATCATTATCCCAGTTAAGGATTATGCTGAGATTCTGACAGACATTTTCCGACATTCAATATAGAAAATTAATTGCAACATATAAACATGGGTCTCTATTAAGATTTAGGGCTCTGTCGAGGAAAAGTGTTCCTCTGAAGTTTATTTGGCTCTGAATGGAGAGCTAGGGGGTGCTGGACTCCTTTAAATATGGCCTGGGCTGCTTCTTGTCGATGAGAGGATTTTTAAGGGGAAGAACATTCAGAATAGAATGGAATGTAGTATTTATAAAAATGGAGGAATTTTGCCTGGCATGTTGTTGCTGACCCATTTAAGCACCAGAGCAGATCTTATATATTACACTCTCCTTAAATTTTTAAAGGTTTTCAGCAGGCAGGCAGCCTGATTTGTGAGGCAAATATTCCCTGGCCCTGACACGTGCCATATCTGCACAGGATGGAATCAGTTTCATAATCAGTTTAAAACTTTTGCTACTTTTGTGAGGTATATATATATATATATATATATATATAGCATATAACATTTCATTTTTCATGCACATTAAGGTTTTTAGGTTATAATATTTGCTAAACCCTAACTGTTTATTCAAACCTGTTGATATGGGTAAATTTAAAATAAAACATTATTTGGCTGATATAATGAGTCAGATAATGCATAACACTTAAAATGTTCTCACAATTTATTATGTTTCACTGTATTTGTTAGTAATTTTTTTTTTAATGGCCTTTGCAAGTATAGCCAAACTTGTACACACACATAGCTCCACCTCCAAGGATTCATTTCTAATTGCAGAAAGGTTCTTGTCCTACTCAGTATACACTACTTTCAGCCAGAGAAAATTAAAAAAACGACTTTGTTATAAAACACACTTAGCATTATATTTTAAATCAAGCCACTAGGATTTTTAAAGTTGAAAAGGCAGAGATGTTGGCCAAAGTACAGTCAGTCAATGCATCACTTAGCTGTAAGAGTGCGCCGCAGAAAAGTTCATCAAACTAGAAAACTAGTCAACTTACCTGTATGGGACTGATTTCTCCTCACTCTCATCCAATCGAATGTCTTTCCGCATTGCAATGTCTCATTGAACGTTTTTAGTGCCTCGTGTCTGGTATTATCGTCCTCAACTGCAGGGTGAAGCACTGGGCCGTCGCATGTGTGCACATCGAGGTGTGTGTTGTTGACAGGGCCGAGTTCACAATGCGCGCCGGAGAAAGTTTTTAAAGTGTCTGAGGAGGGCGAGAAGCCCGTTCTGGAGAGACCCCGCTCACGACAGCTTTGGAAGGAGGGGACTTGGGGTCGGATGGGGTGTATTGGTCTATAGAAATCTTGATTATGGGGGAAGGGGGGTCTGGTCGAGTTAGCACTGCCAGGGTCCTCACAGGGCTTTGAACACGCACCTGTGGCCGTGGCACAGAGATTCGTTAAATGATACCGAAGAAAATCCGCCTCGGTGTTGACATGTCCCTCCTCTCTGCCTGGGAAGTCAGTAACTCCGTGGTCCTGATGCAGACGCATTACTCCAGTAGCATGATAGCCCTTGATGAACAGTGACGTTGTGTCCCTGAACCCTTGATAAGAATTCATGACCGCGTCTCATATATTCCAGATTTTCATCCGAGGATGGACGCGACAGAAACTCCATCCACAGACGCCACACATAGCGCGCAAAAGGACAGAGGCACCGATCTAGACAGGGACATGCCTTGTAGAAGCATTCGATCGGTGATGGATGGGGATGACGTGCCCTCTAACTCTTGGCCAATAGCCGGACATCTCCCTCATCTGAGTGAGCGTTAATTTACCAAAGCAAGCAAGTTTGAATGACTTATTTGACCTGCTAATAAGGTCTCGTGGAGTGTGTGTGTGTGCCCGCGCGTGTGCGGAGGGGTGAGGGGGGATGTCAACATCAGTACTTAATTTCATAATGGATAATGTTGAATTGTATTAAAGCGCACTTCATTTTGCTGAGAATTTTGCACAAATGTCAAGGCATTTGTGACATTTAGAATATAAATAAACGGGTTGTTTCAGATCCAGACAATAATTCCTCTTCTTCAGATAATGTTATTGTAATTTACTCAACTGATAGGTCATGCATTGTGTTTTAATTTTAAGTTTCGATACAAATTAGAAGGCCCAGTCCATATCTGCGTTTCAAATTAGCACTTACAGAAAATCAGTGACGTTTTTAGTCAGTATAGCTGTTTTAGCTTATAACCGAAATGCATAAAGCTTAGGGAATAAGGTCTTAAGCCATTGTCAATAGTTGTTAATAAGAAAGGCATGGATTTTGTGGTTCACGCCTTTTAAATAAAACGTGGCGTTTGTTGCTCATTGAAATTGTAAAAAGAAACTTAGAAATGTCCACGTAGCTCCCAGGCCTTTACTCATCCCGGTAAACCACGTTAACACTTGCATTCCTTTCTTGAGCTCTTTTCGACCATCTTCTTTCATATTCCGATTTGTTTATCAAACTCAAAGATATCTCCTACATTCTTCGGAAAACTGAAACTCTTGTTTTGAATTCTAGACCATACGGAATCTAACATAACAGCTGAAATGATGTTAAAAGGGAATTATCAGGTCATTGTATGAGATCTCTGAGTGATTATGTGTGCTCTAAACAGCTGTCGTTGCAGGTCATTCGTCGGTCAAATGATAATTAGCAGCTGCCTCCCCTGCAATAATGAACCGCTTTATACAAAAAAGTATTTAATTTTTTAGGTTAACATTTATTTATTCTTCCTAAACAAATGGCAAGCCAGACTGACAAGATTATTAAATAATTTAATTCGTTGAATAGTTATTTCATAAAATAATAATAATAAATGAAAGGCTAATGCAAAGTCAAAGAGTTTTATTAAGATAAGCCTATAACCGTTGCGTCGTTTTATGCTAAACGTTATTATAGACATGCTGGTTTTTCGTTTTTAGTCAGTATAGCTGTTTTAGCTTATAACCGAAATGCATAAAGCTTAGGGAATAAGGTCTTAAGCCATTGTCAATAGTTGTTAATAAGAAAGGCATGGATTTTGTGGTTCACGCCTTTTAAATAAAACGTGGCGTTTGTTGCTCATTGAAATTGTAAAAAGAAACTTAGAAATGTCCACGTAGCTCCCAGGCCTTTACTCATCCCGGTAAACCACGTTAACACTTGCATTCCTTTCTTGAGCTCTTTTCGACCATCTTCTTTCATATTCCGATTTGTTTATCAAACTCAAAGATATCTCCTACATTCTTCGGAAAACTGAAACTCTTGTTTTGAATTCTAGACCATACGGAATCTAACATAACAGCTGAAATGATGTTAAAAGGGAATTATCAGGTCATTGTATGAGATCTCTGAGTGATTATGTGTGCTCTAAACAGCTGTCGTTGCAGGTCATTCGTCGGTCAAATGATAATTAGCAGCTGCCTCCCCTGCAATAATGAACCGCTTTATACAAAAAAGTATTTAATTTTTTAGGTTAACATTTATTTATTCTTCCTAAACAAATGGCAAGCCAGACTGACAAGATTATTAAATAATTTAATTCGTTGAATAGTTATTTCATAAAATAATAATAATAAATTAAAGGCTAATGCAAAGTCAAAGAGTTTTATTAAGATAAGCCTATAACCGTTGCGTCGTTTTATGCTAAACTTTATTATAGACATGCTGGTTTTTATATACTGCATAAAAGAAAAAAAACTTTTTCCAATACTTTATTATTTCATTAACATTCTCGTAATTTGAAATAAATGCCTGAAATAAAACAATAATAAAATAATCACAGGAGTAGTATATACAGATTTATAGGAAGTTTTTGACCAGCCTCTTTTACTTTCGACGAGAAATAACAAAGATCCTAACGATTACACCGTATTAGCTACAACGTACTTTTCTTTCTCTCTCCTTTTTTCTTTCTTTGTTAACATACGATTTACATGTTTGTAACGTCATGTGCAATAATCGAATCAGCCTATTAAACTTGAAGGAGACGTATGGAATATGATGATTAATGCTCCATTATTATTATTTTTTTCAGTTAACCTTAAATGTGCATCATATGGTAACATCTTAATTTAAGTCAACATTTTAAGAAATAGCTCCTTAATGTACCAAGTGTGCATGTGCACTTTTAAAACCCTAGTGTGTTCATTTTAACTGTTTGCAAAGTATGACAAGAATTTATATTATATTTTACATGCACATTCCATAATATTTTACAGATGACATTCCAAAAAGTCTGACTAAAGTCATAGAGCATTAGACAGAGATCACCAGAGATATGACCTTTAGAGGTTATCAGGAGTACAACACTCTCAAATCTATTTAGCCATAACAGATGTGGTCTTTAAGGTCTCTCCTTCCAGTAGCTCTTATTGGTTCAAAAGATTTCAACATTGGTCAAAGTCTGAAAATAGACATACTTAAACATGTGCAGAAACAACAGTCTCAGCTATAAGTTCATTTACATTCATGCTTTTGGGATACAAAATGTATGCACTGAAGCCATTATGGGAATCCAGGAATTGGACTCAATTTGGTGTTGCTAATGCCATATTGAGCTTTAGGATTAAAAACGAGGTGACTATGATCGTTTTAGTTGGATTTTAAAATGTGATTTAGTAATGAAATGGAAAATGTTAATTAGGAAAGCAGATCAAAAAATAACAAAATGATAATAGACCTACTAGTTATGATATTGTTAGCTTTTAAACTATCAATGCAAATGCATTTGAACTACTTCACAGGACAGAAGGAGAGATTTCTGCTTATATGACCAATAAAGAGTTTTACTAGGGCTCTGCAGTGATTAAAAAAAATCTCAAATAATCAACAATGTATAACTGTGCACTCGTAACCCCAGAGATCTGGTCCCAGCTGGAAGAATAAATGGAATTCTACGGGCAGCTATGCACTGAATGACGGAGTGCAATATATCCCTTCCCTCTGTACATTTGCATGGTACACTTATCCATCTTCATGTCAGCTGTGGGGTTACCCAGGGTTCACGCGCTAGCTTGTTTCTCTCCTCTCCGCTCAATAAATAAATCTCTGCTGCTTTCTGTTTACGGGCTGAATATAAATTTGTTTGCAGTCGATCGTGGGCCTGTGTGAAGGCATTAGAAATTGTATTTCTGTAATGGGTTTCAGCATGAGGAGGTGGGGGGGTTTGGGGGGTGTGAGGCAGGAGGTGCAGAAGTGTTTGACTGCAGGCTAGGAAAGAAGAAAAAAAACAGGTGTGTGCACTGCTCCACCTCAATAAGATTATACACACTTTTTATAGTCCAGATAAGATAAATATGCTCGAGGCTGAATTTACAATGGATTTAAACTGAATTTTAATGTTATTTACTCTCATTTTATAGAGATCAAATATTAAGGGTTTATTCGTTTCTCCTCATGCCATATGTTTGATTAGTACAAATCGTGAGGGGAAGCGGTGTTCTACATGCCTCCATGTGTTTTCTACAGACGTTTGACCTCAGTTGAAAAGCTCCGGGTAAACAAGTCATCGCAAGCGTTCCCCCTTCAGTTCCAAACAGCTTGTGTCCCATCAGTACGCGTGTTTTGCCAGGACGGATGACAGGAAAACAGTCTCAGCTTGTGTTCATAATAAGGTGAGGGAACATTCATTTTCCTTATTGACTGGAAAGAGCCCAAATAATACCAGCTTGCCACATCTGAGCCGTTTCCAGCCACATTCTGTCATCTACTGTCTATTATAACGTGTGCATTTGAAGCACATGCCTCTCTCTGTGAAGTAATTGCATGCATGTTCACCTCTCCGGCTCGTTATAACTGCAGGGTGATGAAAATACCAGTGTGGTACAGGTTAGGTTTCATTATGATTTGAATGCATCACTCTTCTCGGAGGGGAAGCTCGGTCTGATAACCCGATCTGTCTTTGGCGATCCTCCCACCAAGCTGTGGGATCACGGCCACGATGTAGAGGTCATATCATTGGCTGATTTTGACCTCTGACCCCTGTGACAGAGCTCTGGAATGATGACTCGCAGCCATGGTTTAACCCTAGAGGACTGTCGGGCCTAATTATTTCTCATCTTTGAGCCCTGAAAATGCCAGGAGTGAGACATTGCTGACAGGTGACTGTCACCACTGGCATGTAAAGGTCATTGCTGCTAATGCAGAGTGGACCTGTCTCGGATGATTGGTTAAGGGCTGGTAATCTATGCACTTGCGTACACCTCTTACTTTATCACTGGGGAACAACACATCAGAGAGAGGAGGCAGAATGAATAGCGGTCTGGCCTAGAAAGCTTTCAGAATTGAATTAAGAATGTATTTTAATTGAGGCAGCCAACAGGAGTTGCAGTTTGAAGTTCAACGTAAGGAAGTAGAAGTAAAATTAGCTGAACTTCATACGATTGTAATTTTTAAGTAGAAAAGCTAAGTTTGTCAGGACAAATCTGAATGTTAGATTGATCTTGTTTTAAAAAAGTTTCAATGACATTTTTTAAGTTGAAATGTTTATAGGCCGTACAAATAGATAGACTGCTTTCGATTTGAATATATTTAAAAAAAAAGTGTTCCTGTGATGACAAAGCTGGTGTCACTTCTGAAATCATTCTCATATTCTGATTTGGTGCTCAACTATTATAAAGTATTATTGGTGCTCAAATTGTCAATAATGGTTATTATTATCTATGCTGGCAACAGTCCTTGCGGTTTACTATTTTTGTGGAAACTGATACATT